AAGATCTTTTGGGATCGTTTTCAGAATCTCCGACAGGGACCGCCGCCCCCTTTTTCCTTTTATAATATAAGGGAGTAAACCCCTCATACCCCCCTACCCCCTTGTGAAAGAGGGTTAGGCAAATTACTCTGTTAATTCAATCTACATCAACGAGTACGAGTAATATCGAGTCAAAAAGTGAGTTGTTTCACTAGATACGAGTTGGTGCGTGTCAGAAGTGTGAACTACCCTCCTCTGCAAGCATATCTTTTCCTGTCCGTTCTTCTGCCTACTTTGACTWCCTGTCTTCCTGAATAAATTAGCAAAATTAAGTGCTGGATGCGGAGGAGGCTTAGCGGGTGAACATCCTATATGATATAGGGTGTCCTTACAATATTAGACTCGAGGAGGGTTGTTTTCGGAAATATATGAAAAACAACACTGTTATTTTGAAGTGAAATAAGAGATATAGCTAATATTTTTAAGCACTGATATTTCGGCGTAGTTGAGATGGCCTATGTCGGAAGTATTTTGAAACGATTTTYCACTGCCCACAATAACYTTSGTCAATGAAACTAAAGAGCGAGTTTCTAAATCAAATCATTTCCAATCAAAACACTAATGGGAATAATTATGAAAAAGAGTAAATATGTCGGAAACATATCATATTGATTTAATAACTTCAGAAAGAAAGAAACAAAAGAGAAAGCTATTGACAGATTGAYGATTTCTATTCCAGGCTGTGTACACCCGAATCAGTTTTAAACGGCATATTCTTACGTACGTTTACACGAAACAATCATTGTTTATTTTWAAAAAATGCCCGTGTATCACACTCTAATAGTCGAATTTTGTATCACTGGAACTTCACTGAAATTCAGTACAATTTAACAAAGTTTAATTGCTGTGTTAAATTTAGTTAGTTTAGTTACTCTGTGAAATTAGTGTTTATAGTTTTCATTGTTTTAGTGTTAGTAGTGCACTGTAGATAAGTAATCATTTGGCTTTGTTTCACGGGATTCGAGTAATTTTCATTAACGTTTTCTTAATTTCTCCCCGGGGGGGATGCATGGACTCCGGTGTAAACATACCGGGGATGCTCGTCAGAATGTTTAAAAAGACCTCTTAAAGATCCCGGAAGTCTTGCATAGAGGGCGATTTTTAATCCCTAAGATATTTCACAACGAATATTGTTAAATGAAATCAGTTCCAATGATAAAAACGCAGAGAAAAATCAATATCGATGCGCTCTTTCTCTTCTTTTCCGACACCTTAAGTAGAGATCCGACTCCAAATCGGCACCCTAAAAGATTCTTAATCTCGAAATTTTACCCCTAAGAGATCCGACGAGCATCCCCGGTACTTTTACCCCCGG